GTCGAGAGCCACGGCTCGATCGAGGGGTTTCGCTCGGCCGTGCGCGCCAAAGTCTCAACCGTGGCATAAATGTTTAACCCTTTTACTGTCCGTCGTAATGTCGCGCGATCAAGAGAAACTTATTTCAGAACGACGCTCAGCAAAGCGAAATACCCATAATAAAAAGTGAATAAACGGAATTCGATGAAACATTTATAAAACCCCCGTCCGAACCCCAGAGAGACATTTAACCAGGATCTCCTCGAGCTGGCATGTAACGAGCCGAAGGAACGCGAAAAATTTCTTTTTTATGTGCGATTTTAAAAATAGCAGACGTATCGCGGCCCGGCCATAAATCAAATCTACATTACTGTCTTTAACGATACAGTTTACGCGGTGCACTTTAGCTTTCAAGGAGGGATCGAGATCCAGAGTCTCGGTGAATAATTACCGCGGAACGAAAGCGCAAATAAATCTGCATCGGTGGGCGGGAGAAAGGCGGTGCTCGCGTTTCGCATCGCGGCGAGGATCGCGCGTGAAATTCCTGGGACAGTTTGCATATTTTCGCGTGACCGTAAGAATCAGACCCCGGGTCCGAACGCCGCCACCATCGCGTATCGGTTGCTTCCACCGTGGGAAGATACCCTCAGACGTTGTAATTATTAGAACCAATTTGTCCGTCTAATAACAGGTCATTATACTATTACAAAGTCATAAAGATAATCATCATGTCTACCCGGCTTTGCTCGGGCCCATTGTTTCACGGCATAAAGATTCCTCGTCCTATTCTTCGAGGATCGTCGTTAAAGTTCGTGCGTGCACATGTAACAGCCTCCGCCCCAGATTATCTGTCTACGGCTGATCACGATCAGTTACGTACATTGTAACTCCCAGTGGACTAATTTTCAGATTGCATGTTACGTCTCGGTCGGTGAATTAGCACCTACCAGCTCTCATCATTGAAGTTCGATAACTCGCCAAAACTTGAGACGTACTTATTCATTCGTAAAATGTGAAGCCAGCAGACATAAAGAAGTGACGAACATAAAATAAAGTTGTTCTTATCTTGTCTTTCGCGTGTTCTGTTACGTGATAGAAGAAGATAACTAACTGGCGAAACGACATGATGGAAATGATTATTTAAGAAAGGCGGGTTACGTTATGGTTTCCGCTTACGTAGTAGAATCGGGAACCGCGGGGCTTGTAGCGAATACGTATCTTGACGAATTCAACGGTGCGAGAATAGCGCGATACGTTTAAAATAAAGTCGCCGCGACGGTAAATTTATCGTTCCGAACGCGAAATCTGTTTACCGTCCCTTGGGATCGCGTCGTGCGATGAAAACCACTAAAATACCGGCTGGAATTCGTACGGTATTGCTCCGCGCAAAAACTGCCTGCCCTCCTTGTCACTCACGTGTCAGTTCTGTATAGCGGTGAAAATAAGGCCAGGTTTTGGAATACCTGACCGGTTAGTCAGACCATTTAGTCATTCCTCTTATACCGGGTACCCGGTATCGCGTAGTCACCAGAACTCGCCTTTGGGAACTATCCAGATCACGAATTAGCTCGTAAAAAAACGCCTCGAGGGTTACAGAAGCTTACCGAAATAAACACGTTAAGTAACAACATCGGAATACACCGGAGGGCCGCGGAGTGAACGTGCAACTCGCGTTTCGCTTGACAAATTTCGCGTATTTCCGTAAGTGGCCGTCAACTACCTACATCGAACCGTTGCTTGGAGAAAGTTTCATCTTTGCACGTAGAACGGTACCAATGAAAATCTCGCGTACACCGAAGACCCGACGATGTTCCTCGCTTCTGTTCGAAACGCTCGATGAAAGCGATAAGAAAGAACATGATGAATTTGGATAATCAAATCGGTAGATTTCCAGAAAGCTTGAAATATCTCTCGTGATTTCTTATCGGACTGCACGAGCCACGCTAATTACTAAAGTGCTTACACGTGGCTGAGAAACAAAAGAATAGCAGATTGTTAAATCTTGATTAGGAATTACTGTTAACAAAGCAGACTGACCCAAGACAGCGTTTCAAATTTGTGATCGTTGATAAAAAAAAATGATCAAAGACTTAAATATGCCACTCTCTATCTCTTTCGGGAACTAATTACATAAATTGTCCGTTCGTTCAGAGTTCAATAACTAATAAAGTCACCTGGATTCGTCGGGCGTACATCTACATACGAATTTCATTTACGGAAACACGCACGCAGGAGATTAAGTCTATTAGACAGACAATGATCTCGGTTATCTTAATGTAATAAACTGGACTCAATCTTCTGACCCCGATCCATTTAAAGTGTAATGTACCGGTCAACAGACTCCAGAAGGAGGAATCAATGAAAATCATGAAGCCAAGTTAAAATTACACGTTCGACTGTCCGAAGGGACTGACTACCAAATTCTATTCACGATTATATTATAAAAATACGCGAAGTACGAAGGAGCTACACTTTATAAAACTTGGCCCAAAGAATCCCTGTGGATTAACCGCGGTAAGTTTCGTGGAACGATATTAGCTTACTTCAAAGAAGCATGAATCTTTGGTAGGAGGGTGCGTTAATTAGGAGAAGCAATGAATCGTCGGACGCAAAAAATGAAAAGGAACCAGCGAGAGGCTGTACGGGGGTGGGGGGTATAAAAAGAAAGGGAGGGAGACAAGGGACCGGGTAGAATCTGGGAATGTCCAAATTTTTGGCGCGCTGCCAATACGCGGTCATCTTATTATGATCAAGCGGAATTAACGAGCTATTTATCGAGATTACACGAGACGATATATATATAATACGTGTATGTATACATTCATGTATGTGCACGTGTATGTGTAATACAATATTATAATCTAAAATAAACGTGCGCTCTCAGTTCCGCGGCTTTATCAGGGCTTTTAAAAGCGACATTCACCAAACACGCGGTACAGATATCGCGATATTATTTTGCAAACAACCGCTACGCCCACAAAGCGCCGCAGCGTTTAAAAAATAAGAAAGGAACGCACATTCTTTGTGCCGATTTCAATATACCGCCGATAACTTTGCGCTAATTGTTCCGGTCCCGTTGATATAACTGCCGATTAGATTTAGCAATCGTCTTTCGAACAATCTTGTCAATCTCAAGACAAAAGCACTCGATCCTGTTCAAACGTTCAAGGTGGGTAACTTTTAAATACCTATCTCTTTCTCCAAGGAATTTAACGTGATTAGAATTCTCTAAAATGCCTGTAGTTGTTTTTGCATGTCATTAAGTACTTGGTTTAATTGAACATGCACCTCTTTCATACCATGCAAAGTAATCCTACATATGATTTCATAATAAGAAAATTTACACGCTCCGAATGTACACGCAGCTCAATTTCTTATGTCGGCTTAAATACCTTTGCGAACGAAGTATATGCATATGCGATTTAATATTCACACGAAACGTTCTGAAAAATCTACAATCGTTTTTGTATGCGTGTGAACATTTAGAGATGGTTGGAAAACTGTAACTACACAGCGCAAGAGCGTTATCTGTTGTGTTTATGCAACTTAAAGGAGGTAACTGCTCCGTTGTGTAAATTATCCCGTCCGGACACGAGTTGAAGCGAGATACAAATCTAGCCTGGAAGAATATTCATGCGAGTACGCCTACTATATAATGCATCTGAACAACTTCGTAGATCAGCTTCTTGATCTATCAAGTTATCCACGTCAGATCAAACCGCAACGTCGTTAACGATCCTACGCCGACTTTTAACAATGCAAATTACCTCGGACACTGAATATACGGTAAATGTCAACAATAATGTACACATTCTCCAGTCCAAGTATTTCAAGTGGAAACAAATTAATAATAAAATGTTAGGATATGTGTGTAACTATGAGCTCAGGCTTGATTTCATCACAGAACAGAAGTTGACGAGGAAGGAAAGCCGAGGCGATTTCGTCGTCGCGAAGGGTGAAAAAGGGAGGCTGCGAGGAGAAGATCGCTCGCTGGCGTGGATTCGGTCGTGTTTGCCCAGTTCATTCGCGAGGGAGACGAGGTAAAAGCGGAACAGAGCGCGCGAGGAACGACCGTGCAGAGAGAAGAGACGGAGTCGACGGTCGGCCAGTGCGCGAAAAGAATAGCTGGCTGATTCATACGCGAAGTCACGAGCCGTACGTCGTACGCAGCCGGCGTACGGCCGTGCAAGCGTAATCGAAAACACACGAGATGCACACGTTTCACCGGCGAGCTTCCCTTCTTCGTCCTTACCTCTTGCCCTCCCCCGTGTCCGCCCGCTTTTATACGCGGATTCTTTCTTCCTTCCATGAACGCGCTTCAATATTCACGAGTAAATTCGCTATGTGCTTAATTATCATCGAATATTCTACGGTAATGTAGTAAAATTTTCGAGCGAGTTTTTAATTGATACTCTAACTGTGCGATAAACTCTGCTAAGTGCGAATTTTTCAACTAATGATTGGCGTAATAAAAAAGTCAAGACACATCAGAAGAATCGTTGATCTATCTTGTAACCAGGAAGTGCTTATTCACGGGCTCTCATCGCAGTTTGAGTATTAAAAAGACGGCGAAGAAAGCTCAAGAAACAAAGAAGAAAAGAAGTCATTATTCGAAGGACTCGAACACCGAAAGGGTGCAACCGAAAGAACTCAGAGAGCGGAATACGAGTGTCCTGCTCCCGGAACAGTAGGGCGGTCGAGCCACCGCGGAGACGAGAGCACGAAGAAGGGAAGAAAGGGCGAAGGGAGGTCGGAGAAAGTGGCCGCACGGTTAAAATAGTTAAAAATAACCTGACCAAGGGTCCTGCGCTGAGCTTCGGTTCCTGTAAACACATCCGTAGGGAGAGGCGCGGCAAAACGAGCAACGCAAGGAACACGCGTGTAGCTCTCCGCGGCAGTAAGAGAGGATCCGTGTGGTTTTCGCGGTAGATGGAAGAAGAGCCACGAAGAGGAAGAAAGAAATAGGCAGAGAGAAAGAGCGACGCAGAAAAGGGGAGTAGGAATTTCGTGGTACTACTCACGTGCTTCCATAGAGGTATCTTGACTCGGCGGTGGCAACTGTGTCGTCGTCTGCGACGTACCCGTGGTCCTCGCTGTGGTCGATGTAGACGACGAGCCTTTGGCCTGTGCTACGGTGACCTTGACCTGTTCTCCACCACCCGCGGTCTCCTCGTCGCCGTCCTCGCTCACCGCCTCCTCCGGGCTCGGGCGTGTCCTTACGCTTCCAGCTCCCGGCTCCTCATCCTCGGGATACGACCACGATGACATCGGCCCGGCAACTGTTGTGGTCCACTCGACAACACCACCACCACCACCTTTTACCTCACCACTACCGTCCGCGAACACGTCCTTACGAGACGAGACACCCACAACTCCTCCTCCCCGTTCGTCTTTCGCTTTCCTGTTACGTCTTCCGGTCGCGAATTGAACCGCCGCACTATCGTCGTCCGGTAACCGTGGCACGGTTCGATGAACCAAACGAAACGGTATGGTGGTCCATGCGATCGGCACCGTAGTCACCGTCGTCGTCGCCGTGATTGTCGAGCGGTCCTCTGTCGGCAATTTATCACTGATATAGTCCTCGAGGTCCGAGATGGTACCCCGGCGATGTTCTGGTTTGATTTTCTCAATAAGGGTCGACGAAGGTTCCACGTGACGGAACCGGGAAAATTTCGTCGGCAACCAGGACGGTTCAACGAGGCCTAAAGGTGTCGATCCTTGATCGCCCAGTAAGCTTACAACGTGCCGTCGTCCCGACTTGGTCCTCTCGTGAGCCAGACCTCCTCTTCCTCTTCCTCCTCTCCCGCCTCCTCTTCTGCCCGCCAATACAGGGGAAAAAGGATCCTTTCTTCCGATGGTATCGATTGTCGTTGGTTTCTCGGGAGAGCGCAACCGAACCCCGTCTTGTTCAGCTATTAGCGACGACGATACTTCGTGGTAATCCAGTCCTCCTTTCGAAGAACGCTTTCGCCTGGAGAGATTTTCCGGTTGGTGATTGGAAAATCGAGTCCTCGTTCTCCAGGAGGAAGACAAATACGACGATGAACGGTCCGTTGAACGAGGCAGAAGACGAGGAGGCGTAGCATCGAGGGACACGTACGGATCGGACACCACCGGCGCAGCCGTCGTCGTGCACGTTTGATTGCCAAGAACAGCGACGACGAGAAGAAGCAGGGGCAAACCCACCCCCGCCCCCGTGGTGGCCCCCACAACCCACGGCCTTACCACGAAAACTCGCGAGGCCGTCCAGTCCAGCTGGTCGTAGGCCGATCTTGCCGATGATGGATCTTGCCTGGACGAATCTTCCTCGTTGTTTCCACCTCCCCCTCCTGCGTATCCGTCTCTCCGTTAACTGCGCCAAGGTTCCTCGACTCCTCCTCCGCCTCTTCTTCTTCGTCTTCTTGATCTACATCAAAACTACCGTGGCCGCTCTTCCTTTGTACACCTGCTCTCATCCACAGCCACCAACGATCCGAGTTACGCTTGTACCGAGCCGACTCCAGGTGTCTCTTTTTCTTCTTCCTCTTCTTCGTCGCCGCGACAACAGGTCCACCCACGAGGTTTCGGTCTCGCATTTATCCCGTCGCGTGTCGAACGTTTCCACAGAGGTTACTGCGTCGCGCGAACTCGTCCGACGATATCGCTGCTACGCAATCGCGTTCCGCCATCATCGCGAGCCACGCCGATCCTCATCACGAACGTTCGCCGGACGAGCCTTCGCGAGTCCGCGCGTTTCGTCCGCTCGCCCTGGCATCCTCTCCTCCCGTTTCCACGTACCACCGGCTTCTGACGCTCCGAATATTCGCCACGCGGACACGATTATCGGTCTGGACGGCTTACGAAATGTCTGCAACAAATAACGATGGATCGTGTTAGAAATTATGGTTCGATCGCGTCTCCTCTACTCGATCATCCACGTTTTTAAAACGAACATAAGTCAGATAACAGAAAAACAATTACGAAGTGCGTGTACTACGAAACGTACATAAACTGATAGTATCAGAGAGCGATTAATCATTATCGCGATTGCGAAAAATCCTGTCTTAAAATCGTCGTATTTTATTATTTTTCTCCAACTCGATTCATTATTTTCCACAACAATTCTTGCTCGAACCTGAATAATCGAACTCTGTGTAGCATCATAATTTCACTTAAAATTGCTGCGATAAAGACATCGGACTCAGAACAGCATCAAACGATCCAATTATAAACAAGAGGTAGATGGGTCACGAGATAAAGAGGAACAGTCCCGTGCGGCATACACTGTCTTATTCTGGTCCATGCACTCACGCTTCCTACAACCTCCTAAAATACGAGCCCCGAGGAAATAGTTCACGAACGTACCTATCTCAACTGATTCGTTTCGTTGTACAGTTCCTACCCTCGTATGCGCGCGGCCTCCCCTTTCCCCTACGTCCTGTTCTCAAATCTGTACCCGCGCGTGCACCCGGCAATGTAAGGAACCGATGACCAACACACGTGCGAGACGCGTTCTTAAATCCCTCTATGGTACGCAGACACCGGCATAAAAATGAAAATGTTACCGCCGCGCGGAACGCTCGCTCGTACTCGAGATTTCGAGTGTTCCACCCGGCGAGTCGGCCTCACGTTGCGTGGATTTATTATTTATGTCGAGCATCGAGCGAACCACGTTCCCTGAACCTCTCTGCGTCAGAATATATCGCAGCCCTTCCCGGGCGAGAAATAATCATGTATTCCCACTGCACGGTCGCTCGTACTCGGGATAAACGGTGATCAATATTCACGATGCCGTCGATAAAAAGAAAAACAATGATAACGATTGATATCGCGGCATGATGATCGGAATAGATACCCTGTTATCGCCACAATATCGTGATATACGTAGATTATACCGATCACATAGACTGTAGACGTAAATGGCGATTAAAAATAAGTGACGGATAAGTGAAGCTATTAAACTGCGTGAGCGTCGCAGGAAGAGAAATCGCGAAAATCCTATTTTTATGAACGGCCTCTCGTGGGGTATGAATAATTCGGTCTGCCTTTCCTTCACGGGTATAGTTTCCTAGAGTACGCCGGCATAGAATCACGGACGAGGAAAGGAGACGAGGAAAGGTGGTCGGTCTGACGAGAGTGGTCTGTTTCTACTGTCCACACTCTCCTAATGCAAAACTCGTGTAGCATCGATAGACGTCAACTTTAGCCCACACGGCACTCCCGGGGTTGACTGCCGTGTTTTCGCGGTGTTTATTCAACGTATACTTTATCAAACAGGAAATCGCGGGTACCGCCGAAAAGAGGCCGTAACGACACAACCGTGCGGAATATTTGTTTACGAAGAAGACGCGAATCCCGCTAATTATAGTCACCGAGTCGAAGGGAGGAAACGGCGAGGACACTATTTTTACGAGTCTCCCGCCAGAATATCGTCGGACGTCTGCCTTCGTCTGACCGCAACAAAGCCAACGCACGATAAATGAAATACGGCAACTTTTCTATCATCCTCAATTGCCGCGATAAAACTATTACGTATGTGGAAAACTTATATCGGTTCTCGTACATTACGATGACACTTTGCGAAACAATCTGCATACAATAATAAACAAATGTACTGTGACCGTACATATGCTTCATACATGGATTCTGAAAATTCACTTAATGGACTCAATATTGTCATCGGAGCTGCAAATGACGCTTGTAGTAAATAAATTGTTTGCTATATGATAGATGCTTGAATGCTGTGTGCGATATACCGTGGTACGGTTAAAGAGTTAATAGAAGACTCTTTATTTCGTAATTCACTTAAGAGGCTAACAATAACAGTTAAAAGACACTCGACAGGTTTTAATGGTATACACACGTGTTAAGGAGCTCGATATAAATATATATTGTACATGTATCATTGAGACCGCAGAATTGTTGGCGGAAAGTGAAGTTCGAATACGTACGATACGAGCACTAACTTGGTCTGTGGCGCGAGCGCGTGTCAGCGAGTGGGAATTCGCTGTTTTCATGAGGAAAAATGTGCGCGGCACGCGCGCTAACGTTCTATTTTCGAATGAGAGAGAAAGGCGCGATCAAGGGGCAAGAACGAGAGAAAGACGCGTAGGCCAAGGAGAGAAAGGGTGCGAATGAAAGAGGAATGGACCAGACGCGAAAAAGAGAGTAGGACGCATCGATAGAGCGTCTGTGAGAGACGAAGACGTGAGAGAGAAGCGAACAAGACGGACGTAGGAACGAACTGCGAGGGAAAAGCGTGGAATAGAAAGCGAGAAAGCGATGAAACGAGAGCAACAACATTGTGCAAAAACGAAGACGGATTCGATGCGTGTGTATGCGTGCGCCCGGGTGCGACGAGGATAGATAGCGAGCGCGTACTCTTCGAATACATGCGCTGGGAGAAGGCGGACAGAAACAGAGTGCGAAAGGGGATGAAGAGAGAAAAGAGGACGGAGAGCATGCTGCCGTTGTAGTGTGGAGTAGCGTGGACACCGGCAAGGAACTCTGACTCTTCTTGTGCTAGACGGCCATGCTGGGTCTCTCTCGCGTTCCGAGAATGGGTACCTTTTGCGTACACGATGAAAACTACTTGTGTATGTATCCCCTTCGCAGCGAAATTCTGTCGCGCACGTTGCCACTTGCGGTTGCGTGAAGCGTGGTTCAGAAGAATCACAAACCGCACCGTACGATTAAGGGTATCGTGAGAAAAGCGGAACGACACAGAGAAAATGCGAGTAAAACAAGAACGCGACACTGTGATCATTGAAAACGAAAAGGACGAAGCGCAACGTGCACGAATAGCGAAAAACTGGTGAAATAAAAAATAGCGGAACGAAGCAAAAGATTATGTGTACAGTAGAAAAAAAGAAAAAGAGAGTATAAACGTGCGAGAAGAAAAGAAAAGAAAGGAAAGACAAGCACACGCACCGTGTTGACCACCACGCGTTCGCCGTTCAGGATGAGGGGAGGGGGCACCTCTGTTCACGAGCACGACCAGAACGTATACGCAGTACACGTAAAACTACGCGCGGCAACGACACACACGACACAGTGCACGCGTGTTGACGGCGGTTCCGCGTTTTCCACTGTGTGCGCAGAGTGTCGATGCTGGCTTTTCCTTTCTCGGCATGGACGCCACACACGGCAGCCACGAGGCTAAGACGAACGAGAAGAAAGGAAAGCGGATCGAGCGTGGATCGTACCAGCGAATGACCGGAGCTCGAAACGACCGAGCCGAAGATCCGTGGAGCAAGCGGTGCTGCCTATCGGATGGCACTGCGTTCAGCGCCGCGGTGCGCGACCCCCGTCGGCCTTCATCGTCTTTCCTCGTCGCGCCTCGTCCCGTCTCGGCGGCGCTCGTCGCTTTTCGCCCCTTTCCGTCCCTCAGAGTTTCTGTCGCGTCTCACGCCGATCCCGCACACCTTTGCTGCACTACCTCTTTGCTCCGTCTTCGCTCTCTGCTGCTCTTCTGTTCTCTCCTTCTTTCGCTTGAACTTCTCGTTTTCCCTTCGATATCACGATTCTCTCAACCCCTTCTTCCGCGTAAAACACCTTCTTTTTCTTTCTTTCTTTCTTTCGTCACCGCAGTTGCATTCTTCAATTCCCCATCTCGTCGCCATCGCCACTGTCACCACCACCGTCATCGCTGCGGCCACTACCACCATCCGCGTCGTCGTCACAACCCGCTGTCATCGCCGCGATTGCCATCGCAGTCATAGTCGACGAGTGCTGTCGCAAAAATCGTGTTGTTTCTTGGCAATCATTTGTCCGAATTAACTCGACCATCCGACTTGTTCATTTAATCGCACGAACCATGTTCACTCGTTTCACTTTGTTTGATCTCGATCTACCACTGTCACATTTAGGAAAGATCACTTATGCCACAGGTATCGTTTTGGAACACGATTTCTTATAACAGGTCGCCTGATTTGTGCGTTTCCGAAATATTTAAAAATCAATAAAAGATTTTCGCGAATGAATTACATTTTTCTATTTAAAATTGCCCAGAAGTTGTGGCTCGGAAGGTAAGCAAACAAACAGGACATACAGACAGCGTGAAACCACGTGGATCTTATGCTAACACGAGCCCGGTGGCAGTGCATTGACCATGCAATCTATGGCACGCACCCACAATGTCCCCTAGACAATCGGACAACAGAACCCGGGATTCTCCAATACAGATGAACCTATGCATATTTGGCACATCATACGCGGCACGTTCCGTTGAGTCACCCTTTTGGTCGCAAGCACGCGCAGCAAACGTAACAGGACACATGCCGGTCGTACAACCGAATTTCGATACGCTGTTACTTGGGTACTTAGATACTTGCATACAACCATAGAAATCGGCTTACGTACTTACCTCATTGACCGTCCAATTATTCCTTAATAAACAATCAAAGATCATAATTAACTACATCATATACTTGGAGCTCAGTTTCCATTTTCTGTTAATTAAATTAAATCACCATAAATATGAGTATCTTAGGATTATACTTATAGCTCGTGACTCGTTGAGAGGGAAAAACGTATACGTAATTTCTTAAGAAATATAAAAGGAAACAACGGTAACGCGAAGAAAGGTCGAAACGTG